TGCCCTGTAAACTTTCACTCAATCCACAATAAAAACCTTAACTAAAAAAAAAAAAAGAAAAGAAAGTTTGTATAAATATGGAATTTACCCACAAACTTTTATTTTCATTTTCGCATCTAACTTAAAGCATATGTGTCACAATGTATATCATGACAAGATAAAAATAAAGGCCACTTTATTTTTAACTTTTTAACACTTTTTATTGTGAGTTAGAGGAAGATTTACAGAGTAGGTAAATTTTCCATTCAGCAATTCATCCACACTTAACTCTACTCCTCTACTTCTTTATGTTTTCCAGTTCTATTCCTTCTTTCATAATCCTTCTGAACTTGTTCTTGGGAAAATGCTGCCCTTTTTTATCACAAATAGTTGATTATTCTAATGTTGCATGCCTCATAGTGTTAATTACTTTATGTATATTTATGAGGGTGAGTCAAAAAATATTGCTACAAAATGGTTCACCTGTCTATTGTTTGGCTGAAAACTAAGCCGTGGTCTGAGTTCATTTCCAGATCTATCTCTGGCTGACCAGGAAGCATGGTCTTTTTTTTATGATTCTGAGTTTTGTTCCACCTTTCCTCTCACCTTATCCAGGACCTTCTAAAGTGACCCTTTTCAGAGCAGTTGGTCGTGGAGACTGATGTCCACATGGTCCATGAGCCCATTGGACTAACTACCATGAACTTTTGAAGCCTTCTTTGTGTAGTCAAGGTCCCATTTTACTTCTGAATTGTTTGCTTGAATCTATTTGATTGTACTTGCTTATATCCTTAGGTGCATTTAGATTGCCATTCTGTATTTACAAAAAAAAAGAAAAATATAACTAAAAAAGTAAACACATGCATATACTTCCAGAAACAATAGCAGCAACAGAAGGCACAAAACTATGGTTTCCCTTATAGGATAATAGCAGCTCCATGCTTCTTCCCTGTACTACTGTAGCAAGCCAAGGCTCTGATGAGAGGACTTGCACATTGTGCTTCACTTTACAGTGCTTCTCAGTGCACGTAGTAAAATGTAGGCTGCTGTTTACCTGAAGTTGTACAGAATGATTGATTCACATCTGTCGAATAGGAAACGCATTCTGTTGAGTACTTAAGAGGCTGTGTTTTCTTTCGTGTTTGGGTTCTTTGTACTGTTTCATGTTCAGTATATTGATAGAGTTGAAAGGAAAAGTAAATTAATTATTTTGCCGTGTTTTAAGTAGAAAGTGTGGCATTTCATGCTGGGAAGGTTTGAGGAATCGTTACAACCTTGATGATGAGGAAATTGATACCACTGCTTTAGAAAATAATAAAATTATATTTTAGCACAAGTGATTATGTCCTTTACCTAATATCCTAATTGATGACTATCTATGCTAGCTAAATAATTTAGCAAAAGGAAAAAATATAGTATGTTATTCACACAAATAATGTGAGTTACAGTAATGTCTAGAATAATCAAAGCAGACAGTAGAAAGTAACAATAACAGTGTGATTAGACATGACTACAAAGCTTTATTTATGTGGGAAATGCTATGCTTGAGGAATTAGTAGTTAAGACAGTGTGTCTACTGTGATTCCAATCATATGCAACTTAGATGCACAGAGACTTGAGGTAATAATGTAAAGTATAACAAGTAAGATTTTCTTGTTAATATCAAAGTTGATTAGAATTAAGGAGACCTTGCCTTATTTTTTAAGCAAAGTTTTTTTAAGCCCTTTCTTTTATAAATGATTTTCCCACTATAATCTTAATCTATGTTTTACTTTTAGAAGACAGTTACAAAGAAAAACAATTGAAATCACCCATAAATTATCTTCTACTCAGAGAGACATCTCAAAACGAATGTATTATTTCAGGAGCAATGTTAAGGATAAAATGTATAAACATGAAATAGAGATGAGGGGTGTGTCTTGGGAAGTAAAAATGCTGCCATGGGAATCACCATTGTGGCCTGGCTGCCCAGAGATGTCCTCAGCACTGCCAGATAGCCCAGTGTCTGTAATGGGAAAGATGACAGTGTTGTTGCAGTCAACCAGCCCACATTTGCTCGTGGACAGTGCTAGCCATCAAGATGAGCTAGACAAGGACAGGAAGGTGCTTTTCAGAAAAGAAAAAAGAAAGGCCCATGAAGCACGTTAAAACCATGTCATAGGCCGGTCAGAGGATCAGGGATTTAATTCATGGAAAACAAGATTCAGAATATGTTAGAAGTAAGACTTGGAAAATACTGAAGACTTGCCCTTAGATATTTGACGGGTATCCATCAAGGAAGTAGGTCTTGACTAACATAAAGAACAGTAAAGGTCAGAAGTATTCAAAAGGAGAGTGTAGGGCAGACTGCGTTTTCCACAGTTAGAGATCACTAAGCAGTGTCTGACTCACTGCTGCTGGGAACACACACGGGAAGTTCATGGATGGTGGAACTACCTTCAGTCTTATGTCAGTTTGGGAAATTTCTGTGGTTAGCTGTCTTTCAGTACATCATAGACAAAGTACTATTTTTGATGACACCAACAGGCTATATACTGGCAGCTGAGGCTCCTGAAAAACGGGGTGCATGAGGGGTTCAGCCTTTGTTTTCAATGGCTGGTTAGTAATTTGTTCCACATTCAAGAATACTTGAAAAAGAAAAGTCACTGTTTCCTTCAACAACAACAACAAAAAAACTATAAAGATTTATTAAAGTTAATTTTACATCTAAATTAGTGAATGAACAGATGAAAGTGTACGCATGTTCAGTTTTATAATAGCATATGAGCATATATTTATAAGTCAAAATACCAGTATTTTAGTTGCCAGATTTCAAGTGTGAAATCTTTGACTTTCCTAATGTTTGTTAAAAGCCCTAAAGAGGAACTGACAGTCTCCTGTGTTTTAGGTGTCACGCGATGGGGGAGTTGCCTGCCCTGCCACTGAGGGCCGAGGAAGCAGTGAGGTGGTGGAGGGCAGCCGAACAGCACTGGACAACAAGACCTCCCTCCTCAACACCCAGCCACCACGGGCCTTCCCCGGACCTCGAGTGCGAGAGTACAATCCCTATCCCTACTCGGACACCATCAATGCCTATGACAAGACAGCCCTGAAGGAGGCTGTGTTTGATGATGACATGGAGCAACTGCGAGATGGTTGGTCTTTGTGTAGTTAATTGCCCCCTGCAGAAATCACTGTTCAACAACTGGTGGTTGAGTTTACTGTGGGCTAAGCATGAGCAGAAGGGAGGCTTGTGACTTGTGGCTGTGGCCCCAGTGCAGGGGGGATGCCTAGTGATGCAGGTCAGGGAAGGCTCAGGGAGGAGCCAGCACTGAACAGATACTGAAGAGACGGTGAGGGAAGGGGAAGTAACGGTACGAGCAGTATCCGCCCAGGGTTCTAACCCGTGCCTTCCCAGTTCTCTGAGCCCTGGAAGTGCGGTCCTGGAGAACTGCTGGAACACTGACCCCTTCCCTCAGACCAGTGTTACCACCAGGCTTTCAAGGCTGCCTTTTGTGGACGTCCAAACTGTCCTTGAAAGAGGATCTAACATTGGTTGAACATTCGTATTATCATGTGCTGTACAAAATGTTTCACATACACAATAAAATCTGTGAATGCTAAATGGTGGGGATGTCAGAGAAAAAACACTCCAGTATTGTTTTAAATCAAGTTGATAAAAATGTCTAAGACTCTAATGCCAAAGGTGAAAAACTTACGAGACTTAAAAACAAGACAGTCCTAGAGTGTTCTGGTTCTCCCAGTTCTCACTATATAACTTACTGAATCGAGATAGAGAGAATTGTTTCCATTTTACAAATTAAACAGACTTCAGAAAGGTTAGGTTTCTTGCCCAAACATAGCTGGTGTGGAACAGAGTCAAAAACTAGTCTTAGTTTTTTTCTGACTACTTTGCTAAGGCAAATGTTTACTATTGAGCAACAAAGGAGTATATGTGTAATGAGATGGTAGTGTTTTCATATGAAACTTAATTTTTCTTTCTTTCTTTTTTTAAGTCTTACTGTCATGTTCACATGTTTTGGTTTATATGAACCTGATAGTGATTTCTTTTTCTTTTCTTTTTTTTATCTGTCTTGTTTCCAAAGCTGCTGGTATTTTTCCTTTCTTTCTTTGTAACAATTTTGAATGAAGAATTAAATTAGGACCCCACACAGTTAATACTTAATGTCTACTGTGTGTCTTGAAGTGAATGGATTGCTGAACAGCAGATAGGGAGGTAAATGAGACAGCCGCTTGGCTCCAAGAGCGCTGGCCTTTCTGGAGAAACAGATAGATGTGATTGCACTCAGCTCAGGGTGAGGCAGAGGAGCAGAGAGGGAAGAAAGCTCAGCTCGTTGCCAGTGGGTTACATAGACATGGAATCCTGAAATGGAAGCGTCACTGGAAAGCAAAAGTGGATTTAGGGATTTCAGCCAGTGTGTGGGCTATAGTTTTTATTCTGACTTATTAGAGCATGTTTATTGTAACTTTCTGGGGAAAGTGGATCTTTCCTCTTCATGGGTCATAGAATTGACACATGGTTTATTTTTATCTATTGTTGGTCTTGATGAAGGTAGAATATTGATTGAGATGTTGGTTATTGTATCCAGCCAATTACTGAAAGACCTAAATAAAAAAGTAGAATGGGAGGGGGCAGAAACTGTAGAGTTCTATGGTGTTTCAAATATCCTGTGTGTTTACACCCATTTTAGAAGCTGCAGACAAATGCACATAACAGATATAAGTCGTTCATCATGAGTAGCTCATGCATCTGTTTCGTTTTGTTTTTAATGATTTGGAGTCCTGATGTGGTGCTGTTGGCTAAGCACTGGATTGTTAATTGCAAGGTTGGCAGTTCATACCCACCAGTCGCTCCTCAGAAACCCTGTACAGGGTGGCTATGAGTCAGAAACAACTCTATGGCACTTTGCTCCAACTTGTTTAAAATGTTTGTTTGTTCTTTTCATTTTCTCTATTGAAAGTGAATACTCAAATATGAGACCTCTCAAAAGAACATGGAAAGAGAAAGGATCTATCTTTTCTGCAAGTACTTAAGGCTGAGTGAGTACTTGGGCATATTTCTCAAGTGTGTCAACATTGTTGTTGTTGTTGTTAAGTGCCTTGAAGTCAGTTCCAACTCATAGCAACCCAATATGGCGTTTCCAAGGCTGTAAGTCTTTACTGGAGCAGAAAGCCTCATCTTTCTCCTGCACAACAGCTGGTAGTTTCGAACTGCTGACCCTGAGGTTAACAGCCCGATTTGTAACCACTATGCTACCAGAGTTCCTCAGTCTGTGAATCGACAACCCTTAACAAATTAAATGAAATTGCATGTAACTATTCAGCCCTTAACTCAGGGTTTGCTGTATTACAGAGACTTAGGGAATGCATTCTATCCATTAAGGGTAAAGTTGGTCCTAGACCCAGTTCTCTTCTTCCCTTTCGGAAGACTGCTGTGTTGTGATGCTGTTGTTCCTTAAGCAGTGGTGGGAAGAGTTTTCGCCCATGTTTATTTGTGGTACCTCAGGGTTGTTTTCTTCTGCATCAGAAACGTGTATGATTTTTCAGATGTTTCTGCTTCATGAGAATTCAAGAGTTAGTTAGTTGTAGTACTTTCTGGGGCAGTTAAAAAGCATGTTTGTTTTTCTGTCCAGACATCTTAATTGCTATTTGTTTAATGTGCTGATTGCTAAGTTCAGGACATTAGAAATGGGAAGAAAAGAGTACCAACCAATCTGTGGTAATGCTCAGGAGGATCATGGGGAAAATGTACTTGAGTAGGACTACATATTAGTAAGAGTAGGACTACATATTAGTAAGAGGCTATACTCATAGCTCAGGCCTGACTTAGGACAGAGAGTATGGGAGACAGGTTGGAAAGAGAAAATGGCCAAGGATTGGGTCTTGGAGAAGACCAGCATTGTTTCCTCTTTGAAACAGAAGGGGAAAGGTGGTGAAGACATTGAATATTGATATGTAAGCACTGGTGTCAAATGTCTGTTTCACAAGTAATTTGGTGAGGTGATCTGCTAAGAGTGGGAAGAGTGGTGCCTGGCTACAAAGTAGGATGAAAGTCATGGTGAGAATGGTTGAGAAAGAGCACCTCTGGAAACGTGCAGATCGGTGCGAAGATGCTGAGTGTCATGGAGGGACCACCTCCAATGGGGCATTTCCTCAGGAACTAACTTCTGTCTTATTTGTTTCCCCAAGTACCCATTGACCATTCTGACCTGGTGGCGGACCTTCTGAAAGAGTTGTCGAACCACAACGAGCGGGTAGAGGAACGGAAAGGAGCATTGTTGGAACTGCTCAAGATCACCCGGGAAGACAACCTAGGGGTCTGGGAAGAGCACTTCAAAACCATCCTGCTCCTGCTGCTAGAGACCCTTGGAGACAAAGATGTGAGGAGTTTTCTTTGTGCTTAGATTTCCCCTTCTCCATACGCCGGGGCTCTGACATCCATTTATCGTCAAGTTTGGTCTCAGCTCCACTTTTGTGTTGTTCTTACTACTTACATGAAAACATTTGCTCATTTCACAGGCACCTATTTTAGTAATGTTATGATCAGACACAGGCTTCATCCTCCCTTGTATGCAAGTTCTTTCTGTCTGTTGTTGGGTTTGTATTCATTTTATGTTTTTAAGGTTGGGGAATACTTGGTGCTTACTGTCTATTTTGTTAAATGCAGAGTTTCTTACAGCTCCTTTGATGTAGAGTGTGGTCTTTTAGGATGGACTTTTTTCCTTGTGAGTTTCATGTGTGATTGAGAAATAGATACGTTTATTTTTTAAAGATCCTACCTATTAAATGTTGCATTCCATGCAATTTCATGTTTGTCCATACCTACATATGTTACCAGTTTTGGTAATGTTATCAGTTAAGTGAAAATTCCCGAAGTGTTACTTTTTTATTATTTTTTAAGTCAAGAGTCCCTCATCACAAGAAGCACTCTTCACACTGTGACATTTGATTGTGACATGCTAGCCATTAGTGACACATTTGCAACATTGTTAGTGTATAGTCTGCACATGGCATAGGGCACTTAATAGGCACCTAGGACCTCTCTAAAGGCGGAAGTAATCTGGTCAGAGTACTAGGAAATCTCTGAATTATTCAAAGACAGGAATGTTAGGAATTTAACTTGAGAAGTACAAATCTGTCTTTCTATGTTGGCTCTGTGTAGGCTAGCAGAGACAAAAATAGAGCAAAGAGTCCAACAGAAAGAATTTAGCAAGGTTGCAGGGTAAGATCAGCAGACAAAAAATCCGTTGAGTTTCTATTACCAAAAAGACAAACCCATCAAGTTAATTCTGACTCATAGCAACCCTATTGGATAGAGCAAAATGGCTCTATCTTTATATTTTTACAGAAACAGTCTCATCTTTCTCCTGCAGAGTGGCTGGTTGGTTTGAACTGCTAACCTTAAGATGAGCAGCCCCAAGCATAGCTTACTGTGCCACCAGGCCTTCCATCTAGACACCAGCAGTGAAAAATCTGAAAGGAAAATTAGGGAAATTATTTCATTTATAGTAGCATCTAAGACAATGCATAGGAATACATTTAACCAGGATGTTAAAGACATACAATACAAATTATAAACTGCTGCTGCTGCTAAGTACACGGAGTTAGTGCTGACTAGGAGTGACCCTGTATAAGGTTTCTGAGTCTGTCAATCTTGACTGGATCAAAAAGCCTCATCTTTCTCCCATGGAATGGCTGGTGAGCTCAAACTGCTGACCTTGTGGTAAGCAGTCCAGGGCTTATCTTACAGTGCCACCAGCACTCACAAAATACTGCTAAAGGAGATCAGAGAAGACAAATAAATGGAAAGATACTCCATGTGTGTGGATTGGTAGACTTGGTGTTGTTAAAATGTCGATACTACCTAATGTGATCTATAGATTGAGTGCAATCCCGATCAGATCCTCACCTGATATGGAATAACAAGAGGCCTCAAATAGCTGAAGTAATACTGAAAGAACAACAAAAGAGGGCACACACTTCCTAATTTTAAAACATATTACCTATGGTATTGTTGCTGTTAAGTGTTCTCGAATCAGTTCTGACGCATAGTAACCCTGCATAGGGTTTTCAAGGAGCAGCTGGTGGGTTTGAACCACCATCCTATGGTTGACAGTCCACAAGACTGATCCTATAGCACCACACCAGGACTCCATATTATATATTGTTGTTGTTGTTGTTAAGTGCCATTGAGTCAGTTCCAACTGACAGCTACCTTGTACAGAATTTCTGAGGGGTGACTCCTGAGCTCGGACCTCCAACCTTGCAGTTCAAATCGACCTTGCAGTCCAGTGCATTAATCCACAGTGCCACACCAGTGCTCCATATTACATATACAGCGACAATAATCAAACCAGACCAGTACTGGTATAACAGTAGACACATAGACCAATGGAATAGAATTGATAGTTCAAAAGTAAACCCACATGTTTGTGGTTGTTGATTGTGGAAAAGGGTGTTAAATCCGTTCAACAGGGAAAAAAGATTCTTTCTAGTAAGTGATGCTGGGAGAATTAGATCTCCACACAAAGAGGAAACCAGGTCCATGCTTCATACCATACACAAAAACAAATTTAAAATTATAGATATGAATGTAAAAACTAAAATTAAAATTCTAAGAAAAAATTGCAAGGGCAAAGCTGCCAAGCCTAACTTTTATCAGTGGATTATCTATTATGCTAACAAACAGCAAAAAACCAAAATAAATATATGGAGCCTCATAAAAGTAAAAAACTTTTGTCCATCAAGACACTTTACCAAAATGAAAAGACAAAGTACCAGCTGGGAGACTCTCTTTAGAAAGTATATCTTTACTAAGAATCCACTTCCAACAATTTGACAACAGAAAGACAAATAACCCAATTATAAAATCAGCAAAGGACTTGAGAACCTGAAAAGATGTTCAATGTCATTAGCTGCCAGCATGATTCAAATCAAAAGTACAATGAGATACCTTCCAGTCCCATTTTAGGATGGCTAAGATTTAAAAAAACAACAAAATAACAAATGTTGCTGAGGATGTGGGAAAATTAGAATCTCTCCCTATTGCTCTGGTAGCGTAGTGGTTACGAATAAGGCTGCAAACCTTAAGGTCAGCAGTTCGAGACTACCAGCTGCTCCGCGGGAGCAAGATGAGGCTTTCTGCTCCTGTAAAGATTTACAGCCTCAGAAACCCTGTGCAGGGTCACTATGAGTCGGAACCAACTCGATGGAACTTAACAACAACAACAGTACCTATTGCTGGTGGGAATTCAATTGTTGTGGCCAGTGTGGAAACCAGTGTGACAGTTCCTAAAGAAAAAAACTTAAATTAGAAGTATACTAGCAATTCTACTCCTAAAGACTTGAGAGCAAATTCTCAAACAGCACTATTCACAATAGCCAAAAAATGGAAAAAGATAGACTCCACAGCACATAACAACAACAACAACAACAACAGATGAATGGATAAGCAAAATATGCTGATACATACAATGGAATACTACTCAACCAGAGAGGAAATTTAACTTTCCAAGTTTAAAATAGTTGATTCTATCTTGTTTAAAACTTGGGATGAAATTAATAAATTATAGGGTAACCTCAAGAAATTGAGTAACCCTTCTCATTAAAAATTTTCAAAAAAGGAAAATCACAACGATTTAGTAAACACTAAACCAAAAGCAATGGAAAAAATGACAAGCTAAAGGATGTTAGCACAGAAAATTATGTGGAACAAAGAAACCAGCAGCACCACACACACAGCAAAAAGACAGCAATCAATTCATACCTATCAGTAATTACACTAAATTTAATGGACTAAATGCACTAGTCAAGTAGAGTAACAGAATAAATAAGAAAACAGGATCCATAGATACATTATCCATAAGAGACATACCTTACACACAAAGAAATTATTGACTTAAAAAAATGGAAATAAATAATATCAAGCTAGTGGCAATCAAAAAAAGACCTGCAGTAGCTGTATTAATTTATTATAAAATAAAACTTTAAGGCAAAACCCAGCATAAGAGACAAAGAAGGGCATTCTATAAAGATGAAAGGGTCAGTTGAACAAGAGGGCACAGCCACAATAAATACCTGCACACCCAATGAAATAGAGCCTCAAAATACATAAATCATCTCCAACAGAACTGAAGAAATGGGGGCATCCACAATAATAGTAGGAGACAATAATACACCCACCACATTTTAAAAACATAAATTGAGTGAAGATTTACAGAGCTGATCGTAAGTTTTACATTCAACACATCACATACTTGGCTTCATTTCAATGATTATAATCTCTCAATGTAACATCACTTTTCCAGTTTCCTCCCTAATGTGTCTTTTGTCCATTTCACCTTCTTTCCCAACTTTTCTGAATTTAGTCCTTTGGTAAGTGCTGTTTTTAAAATCTTGACTGGTCAACCATTCAATGATGGATGTACTTCACTAGTATTGTTTCTCCCCTATATGTCTGCCTATTTATTTTAAGATCTTGAATGGTTGACCATTCAATGATGGATGTAGCTCACTAGTATTGTTTCTCCCCTATATGTCTGCCTATTTATTTTAAGATCTTGAATGGTTGACCAGTCAATGATGGATGTAGCTCACTAGTATTGTTTCTCCCCTATCTGTCTGCCATTTGTTGCATGGCTGAAAAATTGAGCCACAGAAGTGAGTTCAGTTTCAGATCTGAAGAGTGACCAAGGGCCACAGTATTGGGTTCCTCTGCTTTTCTAAGCAGTAAGCCTGGTATCTTTTACAATTTTGAGATTTTTTCTACATTTCCTCCTATTCTATCCAGGACCTTCTAACTTGATCCCTTTCAGAGCAATTGGTATAGTGGTAGCCCGGCACCATCTAGTTCTTCTGGTCTCAGGGTAATGGAGATTGATGTTCACATGTTCCATTAGTTCATTGGACTAATTGATTCCAGGCATCATCAGTTTTCATCACTTTTCTTTCCTCTACACAAGGAGAGACCAGTAAGCACCACAGTACGACAAACTGTCAGACAAGTGCTACTGATGGGTTTTTTGTTTTGTTTTGTTTTTTTTATTGTTTTCTTCTTCTTCTTTCTTCTTTCTTCTTCTTCTTCTCATGTAATTTCTATCTGTGGGTTCAGTTTGGTTGATTGTACTGTTTCGTTCTTCTGGCTGTGTTGAGTTTCTTCCTAGTTATTCTGGTAGCGTAGTGGTTACAAATCGGGCTGTGAACTGCAAGGTCAGCAATTCGAAACTACCAGCTCCTCCACGGGAGAAAGATGAAGCTTTCTGCTCCCGTAAAGATTTACAGCCTCGGAAACCCTATTCAGTGTGGCTATGGGTCAGAACCGACTCAGCGGCACTTAACAACAACAATTTAATCCTGCAATAACAGTGATCTACAGGTAGATACATGGATAGATAGATACTGTGTATTGCTGTGATGCTGGAAGCAATGCCATTGGTATCGTAAATACTAGCAGGACCTCCAATGGTGAACTGGTTTCAACACAGCGTCCCAACTAAGACATGCGAGGAAGAAGGAGTGAGTGGTGGACCACTTCTGAATGGGTAGCCACTGAAAACCTTGTGAATAGAAGTGGAACATGGGTATAGTGCCGGAAGATGAGCTGCCAGCCACTGGTGGTCACTGCCTAAGAACACATCAATATATAATCATCAAATAAATAAAAACACCATAATATCTCTGAGAACACAGACAGTTTCAGCTAACACAGAGAAATAAAACGGAGAGTGCTTCAAGCAAGTGAGCAAGATAGAGTCAGTAAACGTAATACCAGAAATGGAATCTGAACTACTTGATAAGGAACTTAAAAAGAATGTTATTTAGGTACCGTCAAAGGATTGAAAGAAAGATCGACAAAAGCAATGAGAACACACACACACAAAATCTTTAGAAGAGTTCAGGAAAACACTACAAGAACAATCTAACAAACACAAACTTGGAAACCATACAAAAACAATTAGCTGGAAATTTATTCCTAAGTTAAAGTAGAATTAAATCAATAGAAAGCCAAATTAATGAGCTTGAAGAAAAGAATCTGTCAGTGCTCATCTTGAAGAGGAACAATCAGAAAAAAATAAATGAAAAATCCAAAAGAAGCCTTAGGTTTGTACTATCAAGAGGAATGTGTGACTGGAATTCCAGAACAGGAAGAGACAAAAGCATAGAGAAAATTGTCCAAGAGTTGCTGGAAAAAAATTTCCAGAACATTGTGAAAGATGAGAAGATAGTCATTCAGGAAGTTAAACTCAAGACAGGATAGATCCCAAAAGAAAATAAACAAAAACACATTAGAGTCAAACTTTTCAAAACCAAGACTAGGAAAGAATCTTGAGAGCAGCTCAGGAAAAATGAAAGGTTACCTACCAAGGACAACCAATAAGACTAAGCTGTGATTTTTCAGCAGAAATCACGTACGCAAGAAGACAATAGAATGACAGAAAGAAAGAGAGAAGAAAAGTCAAGCAAGAATCACATGTTGTTCAGTGCTGTAGAGTCAGTTCTGACTCATACGTAGCAACCTGTATGGCTAAGAAGCAGCTGGTTGGTTTGCACTGCCAATTCTGTGGTTAGTAGTGCAGTGCTTATCCTACAGCATCATATCAGGACTCCAGGTATCATATACCCAGAGAAATTGTCCTTCAAATATGACAGCGAAATGAGGACATTTCCAGATAAACAATAATTAAATGAATTTGCAAAAAATCATACCAACCTTACAGAAAATACTACATACAGGGAGTTCTTTGGACCAACAACAGCAGCCAGTGTCTACTAGATTCAACCCAGATATGGAAGTATTCAAAGTAAAACCAAATTACAAGACTGAAAATCCAGAACTAAGTATCAGTTTGTAACAACAAAAACAGCCCTTAAAATAAAAAGAAAGGGAATAAGGTAGTTTCAGAACTCACAAATGAAGTAGAAATCAAGGACAATTCAAGGGGAAAAAAATTACGTAATAAACTGTATCCCTAAAACTAGACCAAACTTTACTCCTAGTCTTAGCCCAACCCCTAGCACTAACCCTGGAAGGTATACACAGTCACGGTATGAAATCAAATTAGTCAGTGTTCAACTGTTTCAAGAGGTAGCATATGATCAAGATCCGAGGATATTGACGGAAGAATTACAAGTTCATGGAAAGCATTGGAGAAAAACAAGGCTCCAGGAATTGACGGAATACCAGTCGAAATGTTTCAACTGATGTAGTGCTGATGGTACTCACTTATTGCTAGAGACATTTGGAAGACAGCTACCTAACCAGCTAACAGGAAGAGATCCCAATTTGTGCCCATTCTAAAAATGTGACCCAAGAGACTAGGGAAATCAATTAATGGTATCATTAATACCACATATAAATAAAATTTAGCTGAAAATAATTTTTAAATGATGGCAGCAGTGCATGAACAGGGAACTGCCAGAAAACAAAGGCTGATTCAGAGGTGAACGTGGAATGAGGGGGGTAATCATTGTTAATGTCAAATGGATCATGGCTAAAAGCAGAGAATAACAGAAAGATGTTTACTTGTACTTTATTGACTCTGGAAAGGCATTTGTATGGATCATAACAAACTATGAATAACATTGCAAAGAATAGGAATTCCAAAACACATCAGTGTGTTCATGCAGAACCTGTACAATAGACCAAGATGCAGATGTTCAAACAAAACAAGGGGATGCGATTTGTTTGAAAATCTGGAACAGTGTGTGTCAGGGTTTTATCCATTCCCTATACTTATTCAGTCTGAATGCTGAGCAAATAATCTGAGAAACTAGTTTATATAAAGAACAGGACATCAAGATTGGAGGAAGACTTGTTACCTGGAAAGGAAGAGGACCTAAAATACTGATGAAGATCAAAAAGTATAGCCTTCAGTATGGATTGCACCTCAATGTAAAGAAAACCAAAGTCCTTACAACTGGAGGTCATCTGAAGTGACCGCAGCATGTGTGGAGTAAGGAAGAGTGACGAAAATGATGATGCTTGGGGTAAATTAGTCCAATAGAGTGATGGAACGAACATATGAACATCAGTCTCCACGACTTAAGAAGAACTAGATGGTGCCCAGCTACCACTACTCAGAAAGGGATCAGATTAGAAGGTCCTAGGTAGAGTGGGAGAAAATATAGAACAAAACTCAAAATTCTGAAAAACTCAGAAAGAGACTGGAAGAACCCAAGACTCAGACCCTCGGCCACCATTCATGTCTAGAACGGAACTTAACCTCATGGCCCAATTATAGCCAAGCGGTAGATAGGTATATATGGGGGACAACAACATTAGTAAGGTATGCTTACCATGGAAGCATCAACCATTCAAGATCAAAGGGTAGCATTTACCTAAGGACAAAGTTCAGAAGGGTGGATTGGAA